CTGCCTCAGACTCATCAGGCATCGCTCAACAGCTACAGCGCCCGCCAGGGTCGAGGCGAAGGATCATCGAGACGTCGGTGGATGGTACTTGAGGATAGGGAGTACCAGGCCGACTTACCAAGAGAAACAAACCTGGAAGTAAATGATCGACAGAGGTCCTCCCAGGGCAATCAATCGTTCCGATCCTAGGTGGACCTTCTCGAGGTCAGTTTCAGAAGGAGATAGAAGACCTCAAGCGACAGTGCAAACCCTTGAATCTGCACCACGCGGTTGAGTAGTAGGAGCCTCCTTTCTCCCAAGCGATCCTGGATGCCCCAATCCCGCCGAGGTTCAAAGCTTCCGTCATGAGCTCGTATGATGGGTCTGGGGATCCGATCTCGTATGTAGAGGTATTCGAAGGAAAAATGGATTTTTTGGCAGTAAGTGACGCTATGAAATGTGGAGCATTCCAGATAACGCTGGAAGGCTCGACTAGACTATGGTACCGACAGTTGAAGTTGAGGTCAATCGACAGCTATCAACAGCTGAGAAGGTTATTCATCAATCAGTTCTCAACCAGGCAGTTTTTGAAGTTGCCGCTCTCTCACCTCGGAACAGTGAAGCAACGGGACAATGAGTCCTTTACGGTGTACATCGCTCGGTTCATGGACGAGCATGTCAAGGTGGTGAGTTGTACTGACGAYATTGCCATGATGTACTTCACAACGGGGTTGAACGACAGAAACTTGACAATCGAGTTCGGAAGCTACCAGCCGGCCTATCTAAACGAAATGTTTGCTCGAGCTCGCCAGTATATTGACGGCCTAGAGCTGTGGAATGCCGACGGAGCAGACGAAGTAGCCGCGGTAGAGACTGGGACCACAAGTCTCCACCCTCCAAGAAGCGGCGCGGTGATGATCGAAATTCATCTTGGCGAGTTGATGACGACAAGAATAAAGGTCGGCATGAGGAAAGGGTCATTTCAGATCGTCGCGGGCCAAAGTTCGACATGTTTACTCCGCTGAATGCCTCAATCGCTGAGATCTACGCGGCAGTCTAAGACACCGACCTGGAGGCGCTGTTCGCAGCCTTGGAAAAGCTCCGCCGACCATCGGGAAAGCGAGACAAGCGACTCTACTGCCGATTCCACAAGGATCCTGGCCATGATACCTCCCGTTGCTTCCATTTAAAGGAGCAAGTCGAGGATTTGATTCGGAGGGGTTATTTGAAGAAATATGTTGGCAACATAGAGCGAGCATTGCCGGAAGAATCGGCTTGGGAAGAGAAGCGAGAAAGGTCACAGTCGCCCAAACGAAGAGAGGATCGCTACCATTCATGGGGTCCGAGTGGGGGGCAATCGGGGCAGAAACACCGGGGACGGGTAAAGCCATGCGAAGTAGCAGGGAGCATTGAGCAATGGGGCGGATGAGGGCGACTTCGTCGCATGACAAGAGAATGGGGTCACGGAACGACAACTGGCAGGATTTAGTGAGACCTACTAGAGAGAAGGCAGAAAAGCCTTAGCTCGTGAAGCAGCACATGAAGTCTATACGCTATACCTCAAGGAGCCCGTGATGTCGATCCTGTTTGACGAGAAGGACAGTGAAGGGGTACACATGCCTCACAACGCTGCCTTGCTGATCACCCGTCTGATAGATCATGTGAAGGTCAGAAGAGTTCTTATTGGTGGAGGAGCGTCGGCCGATATATTGTCCTTCTCGACCTACTCAGCTTTGGGATGGGAGAGAAGGCACTTGAAGCACAACCCATCGCCCTTGGTTGGCTTTGCAGGGAGACAGTTAGCGCGGAAGGATGTATCTCGCTCCCTGTGACCATTGGCGAGGGGGAGCACCAAGTAACCAAGGTTGTTGAGTTTGTCGTGATAGATCGCACCTCAGCGTACAATGCCATTCTTGGTCAGCCGGTACTTCACGACCTTAAAGCGGTTCCTTCTACTTACCATTAGGTTCTGAAATATCCAACCCCAACAGGAATAGCAATAATCCGAGGTGAGTAAAGAACCTTACAGGAATGTTACGCAGCTGCTATGAAGGGGACCGCCACTTGCGCATCCATCATAGAATTTGAAACAACCGACCACCAGATGACAACGAGACAGAGCTCAATCGCGGCACACCAGCAAAGGAGCTAGAACTTGTCCCCTTGCTGGGGCTGGATAAGCAGGTCAGCATCGGCAGCAGGCTGGGGCTAAGGTGAGGGAAAAGCTCGTCGGGTTTTTGAAAGTGAACTCCGACGTGTTTGCATGGTCCCATGAAGACATGCCGGGTATCGACCCAAACATAATGGTGTATAGGCTTAATGTAGATCCTAATTATAGACTTGTAAGGCAAACGCGTCGGCCTATCGATGCCGAGCGAAGTAATATAATTTGTAAGAAGGTGGAACAGCTATTACGAGCTAATTTCATAAGAGAAGTTCATTACCCCGCGTGGCTTTCCAATGTTGTTTTAGTTAAAAAGTCTAAAGGCAAGTGGCGCGTCTGTATTGATTTTACGAGCCTCAATAAGGCGTGTCCGAAAGATAGTTTTCTCCTCCCTCGAATAGATCAGCTCGTCAACGTGACCGCAGGGCACGAGCTACTCTCTTTCATGGACGCCTACTCCAGATACAACCAGATCCGGATGCATGCACTCGACCAAGAGCACACTTCATTTGTCACCGACCAAGGGCTATATTGATATAACGTCATGTCCTTTGGTCTAAAGAACGCCGGCGCGACCTACCAGCGAATGGTAAATATGATGTTCGCCAAGCAGATCAGACGCAAAATAGAGGTATATGTGGATGACATGTTGGTAAAAAGCAAGCAAACGAGTTCACATCTAGCCGACCTAGTAGAGGCCTTCGGCGTACTCCGAAAGTATCAGATGAAGCTTAATCGAGCAAGTGTGCTTTTGAGGTTTCGTCAGGAAAATTTCTCGAATTCATGGTCCACGAATGGGGAATTGAAACCAATCCGGACAAGATAAGGACAGTCCTCGAAATGGAAGCCCCGAAGAATGTCAAGCAACTTCAGAGGTTGAATGGTCGCTTAGCGGCTCTGAATCACTTTGTATCTCGCTCCACCAACAAGTGTCTTCCTTTCTTCCAAACATTAAGGAAAAAGGGTCGGTTTGAATGGACCGACGATTGTGAAACGGCACTTCAGTAGCTAAAGCAGTACCTCGGCACGGTCCCGCTGTTGTCCAAGCCGCTGCCTGGCGACGTTCTTTACTTATACTTGGTCGTGTCAGAAAATGTGGTCAGCTCAGTCCTCATAAGGGAAGCGGAAGGATGGCAAAACCTTTTTTACTACACAGCAAGTCGATGACCGAGGCCAAGGCTCGCTATCCCTATGTTGAGAAGCTGGCCCTAACATTGGTGACGTCGGCGCGTCGTCTGCGACCGTACTTCCAAGCTCATAAAATAGTCGTTTTGACAAACTTTCCTCTAAGGAAGATTTTCTATAAGTCCGAAACGTCAGGTCGGCTAATGAAGTGGGCCTTGGAGCTTAGTGAGTATGACATCGCCTTTGAGCCTAGGACAGCATTGAAAGGTCAGGTAGCCGCAAACTTTGTTGTCAAGTTGACTCCGGCCAGACTAAGGGTCGACGTCCACGATCAATGGACGCTTTACTTAGATGGCTCATCCAACGAGAAGGGCTATGGGGCAGGCATGTTGCTCCTCGACCCCGATGATCTTCGGTTTGAGTATGCACTTCGATTTAACTTTAGAGCTTTGAATAATGAAGTCGAGTATGAGGCGTTGATAGCCGAGCTAAGGGTTGCAAAGGGGATGGGCGTGAAACGTCTTTTGTTCCTCAGCGATTCACAACTAATTGTCAATCAGGTGACCAAGGAGTACCAAACGAAGGATGCTCGTATGGAAAGGTATCTGAACAGAACTCGGGAGCTCCTTGCCCAGTTCAAAGATTATGTGATTCAACAACTGTCGAGGTCAAAAAACTCTAACATTGACACACTGGTGTCTTAGCCTCAACCTACGAAACCGACCTACCAAGAACGGTGCCAGTAGAAGTACTCGGTGAGTCATCCATCGACCAATCGTAAGTAATGGAAATCCAGTCAGCTTAGCCCATATGGATGGATCCGATCAAAAATTTTCTGACCAGTGGCTTAACTCCGGCAGATCAGGGCCAGGCCAGGAAGCTCCAACGTCAAGCGGCTCACTACATAATACAAGAGGGCAAGCTCTATAAGAGGGGATACTCTCTACTGTTGT